TCACACTGCCCTACCCTATGCTTTGACTTTTTTCTCCCCTCTCTCTCCAGATGAAATCTTGCGACTTGTGACGGCCGGCCGCCCAACAACCTGCCCGCTTGACCCTATCCCTTCCTCTCTTCTCCAGACCATTTCCGGAGACCTTCTCCCTTACCTCACCTCGCTCATCAACTCATCCTTGACCGCTGGCTATGTCCCTTCCGTCTTCAAGAGAGCGAGAGTTGCATCCCTTCTCAAAAAACCTACACTCGATCCCTCCGATGTCAACAACTACAGACCAGTATCCCTTCTTTCTTTTATCTCCAAAACTCTTGAGCGTGCCGTCTTTAGCCAACTCTCTTGCTATCTCTCTCAGAATGACCTTCTTGATCCAAACCAGTCAGGTTTCAAGACTGGTCATTCAACTGAGACTGCTCTTCTCTGTGTCACGGAGAAGCTAACTCTCTCTCCTCTGCTCTTGTCCTTCTAGACCTGTCTGCTGCCTTTGATACTGTGAACCAACAGATCCTCCTCTCCACCCTCTCCGAGTTGGGCATCTCCGGCGCGGCTCACTCCTGGATTGCGTCCTACCTGACCGGTCGCTCCTACCAAGTGGCGTGGGGCGAGAATCTGTCTCCGCACCACGTGCTCTCACCACTGGTGTCCCCCAGGGCTCAGTTCTAGGCCCTCTCCTATTCTCGCTATACACCAAGTCACTTGGCTCTGTCATATCCTCACATGGCCTCTCCTATCATTGCTACGCAGACAACACACAACTAATCTTCTACATTCCCCCTTCTGATAACCAGGTGGCGAATCGCATCTCTGCATGTCTGGCAGACATATCAGTGTGGATGACGGATCACCACCTCAAGCTGAACCTCGGCAAGACGGAGCTGCTCTTCCTCCCGGGGAAGGACTGCCCGTTCCATGATCTCGCCATCACGGTTGACAACTCCGTTGTGTCCTCCTCCCAGAGTGCAAAAAGCCTTGGCGTGACCCTGGACAACACCCTGTCATTCTACGCTAACATCAAGGCGGTGACCCGATCCTGTAGGTTCATGCTCTACAACATTCGGAGAGTACGACCCTGCCTTACACAGGAAGCGGCACAGGTCCTAATCCAGGCACTTGTCATCTCCCGTCTGGATTACTGCAACTCGCTGTTGGCTGGGCTCCCTGCCTGTGCCATTAAACCCCTACAACTCATCCAGAATGCCGCAGCCCGTCTGGTGTTCAACCTTCCCAAGTTCTCTCACGTCACACCACTCCTCCGCACACTCCACTGGCTTCCAGTTGAAGCTCGCATCTGCTACAAGACCATGGTGCTTGCCTACGGAGCTGTGAGGGGAACGGCACCTCCGTACCTTCAGGCTCTGATCAGTCCCTACACCCAAACGAGGGCATTGCGTTCATCCACCTCTGGCCTGCTGGCCCCCCTACCTCTGCGGAAGCACAGTTCCCACTCAGCCCAGTCAAAACTGTTCGCTGCTCTGGCACCCCAATGGTGGAACAAGCTCCCTCACGACGCCAGGACAGCGGAGTCACTCACCACCTTCCGGAGACACTTGAAACCCCACCTCTTTAAGGAATACCTGGGATAGGATAAAGTAATCCTTCTACCCCCCCCCTTACCCCACCCCCCAAAAAAATTATAATTGTAAAGTGGTTATCCCACTGGCTAGTTGAATGCACCAATTTGTAAGTCGCTCTGGATAAGAGCGTCTGCTAAATGACGTAAATGTAAATGTACAAAACAAAAGATAAAAGACAAGAGAGCAAGACCAAGGTTAAAATGCAAAAAAATATATATATACAGTGGGGGAAAAAAGTATTTAGTCAGCCACCAATTGTGCAAGTTCTCCCACTTAAAAAGATGAGAGAGGCCTGTAATTTTCATCATAGGTACACGTCAACTATGACAGACAAAATGAGAAAAAAAATTCCAGAAAATCACATTGTAGGATTTTTAATGAATTTATTGGCAAATGATGGTGGAAAATAAGTATTTGGTCAATAACAAAAGTTTCTCAATACTTTGTTATATACCCTTTGTTGGCAATGACACAGGTCAAACGTTTTCTGTAAGTCTTCACAAGGTTTTCACACACTGTTGCTTGTATTTTGGCCCATTCCTCCATGCAGATCTCCTCTAGAGCAGTGATGTTTTGGGGCTGTCGCTGGGCAACACAGACTTTCAACTCCCTCCAAAGATTTTCTATGGGGTTGAGATCTGGAGACTGGCTAGGCCACTCCAGGACCTTGAAATGCTTCTTACGAAGCCACTCCTTCGTTGCCCGGGCGGTGTGTTTGGGATCATTGTCATGCTGAAAGACCCAGCCACGTTTCATCTTCAATGCCCTTGCTGATGGAAGGAGGTTTTCACTCAAAATCTCACGATACATGGCCCCATTCATTCTTTCCTTTACACGGATCAGTCGTCCTGGTCCCTTTGCAGAAAAACAGCCCAAAAGCATGATGTTTCCACCCCAATGCTTCACAGTAGGTATGGTGTTCTTTGGATGCAACTCAGCATTCTTTGTCCTCCAAACATGACGAGTTGAGTTTTTACCAAAAAGTTCTATTTCTATAAGAGGGGATGCCTCCCCTCAATCTGCCTCCCGAGATATTTATCTTCAGCGAGACTAGAGAGGGTCGGCAGGGCCTTAAGTCCTATGGGGCTCCGCTCCACTCATAGAACTGGAGTTATACTCCGGTAACTAATCGTTCTATATCGTGGAGCTCCGCCCCATAGGGGAGCTCTGCTCCTATTGGTTTAAGGCAGAGCGTAGCGCTTCAAAATGTACTCCCTGCCGAGCCCAACACTTCCCATCGAAACGAGAAGGTCAGGCCTAGCAATGGCTGCAACCAATTCCTGCAGTACTGCAACCACTTTATAAAAAACAAGTGTAATAATATGCGTCATCGGTTCAAGACCTGCCCCAGCTAGTCTAATGGCAAAACCAATGACTAGTGGGCAGATCAAAAGAATACCGGCCATACTAATCTGTACTAGCAGATAGATGATACCTCACTATTCTGATACATCACTACCAGTCACTAATGGAATGACACAAAAGTGTCACTCTACATTGTGAACACGGTAGGCCGCCCCACTTACTCAATGGAACCCCAGAGATTAGTGGGCAGATCCCAGAACATGACCCATACTATTCTGAACAAGCAGATAGATGACGTCACACTCTGTCAACCTACATGCCTTCTACTGTACTGAACCTGTCAGTCAGGAGTCATGTCAAAAATATGTCCTTCTATCAGAAGCGGACCTGATAGAGACCTTGTCTCTACAGTCCTGCATTCCTCTCCTCCTAGCTCAAAGTCTCCCTTCAGCCACGCTGAGTACAGACTGAGCCAAAGAGTTAGAAGACGTATCCAAGAGATAGAAACGGATAAATGGAGACGGTGTCGACCAAGACGCCGCTCTACATATATCCTCTACCCCTGTTCCTCTGAAAAGGGCAGTAGAAGCTGCTACTCCACGAGTGGAGTGAGCTCTGATACCCTGAGGCAACTGTCGCCCCGCTGCCTCATAAGCTGTCTCAATGCCTTCACAAAGCCAATGAGACAGACGCTGTTTCGAAAGTGGTCTACCTAGTGCAGCCGCACCGTGACACACAAACAGCTGAGGCGATGAGCTAATCGCTGCTGTGCGCTCGACGTAACACGCCAAGGTGTGTACTGGGCACAGGCGATGGAGCTTTTCCTCACTCCTCTCTCTATGAGGAGGAGGAGAAAACGCCCACAGCTCCACGGTCTGTGATCTACAGTGGGGAAAAAAAGTATTTAGTCAGCCACCAATTGTGCAAGTTCTCCCACTTAAAAAGATGAGAGAGGCCTGTAATTTTCATCATAGGTACACGTCAACTATGACAGACAAAATGAGAATTGTTTTTCCTGAAAATCACATTGTAGGATTTTTAATGAATTTATTTGCAAATTATGGTGGAAAATAAGTATTTGGTCAATAACAAAAGTTTCTCAATACTTTGTTATATACCCTTTGTTGGCAATGACACAGGTCAAACGTTTTCTGTAAGTCTTCACAAGGTTTTCACACACTGTTGCTGGTATTTTGGCCCATTCCTCCATGCAGATCTCCTCTAGAGCAGTTCTATTTTGGTTTCATCTGACCATATGACATTCTCCCAATCCTCTTCTGGATCATCCAAATGCACTTCAGACGGGCCTGGACATGTACTGGCTTAAGCAGGGGGACACGTCTCGCACTTGCGGCGTAGTCCCTGGCGGCGTAGTGTGTTACTGATGGTAGGCTTTGTTACTTTGGTCCCAGCTCTCTGCAGGTCATTCACTAGGTCCCCCCGTGTGGTTCTGGGATTTTTGCTCACCGTTCTTGTGATCATTTTGACCCCACGGGGTGAGATCTTGCGTGGAGCCCCAGATTGAGGGAGATTATCAGTGGTCTTGTATGTCTTCCATTTCCTAATAATTGCTCCCACAGTTGATTTCTTCAAACCAAGCTGCTTACCTATTGCAGATTCAGTCTTCCCAGCCTGGTGCAAGTCTACAATTTTGTTTCTGGTGTCCTTTGACAGCTCTTTGGTCTTGGCCATTGTGGAGTTTGGAGTGTGACTGTTTGAGTTTGTGGACAGGTGTCTTTTATACTGATAACAAGTTCAAACAGGTGCCATTAATACAGGTAACGAGTGGAGGACAGAGGAGCCTCTTAAAGAAGAAGTTACAGGTCTGTGAGAGCCAGAAATCTTGCTTGTTTGTAGGTGACCAAATACTTATTTTCCACCATAATTTGCAAATAAATTCATTAAAAATCCTACAATGGGATTTTCTGGATTTTTTTTCCTCAATTTGTCTGTCATAGTTGACGTGTACCTATGATGAAAATTACAGGCCTCTCTCATCTTTTTAAGTGGGAGAACTTGCACAATTGGTGGCTGACTAAATACTTTTTTTCCCCACTGTATATATTAAAGTGCTACCTCTATGCTGAACTCTTCCACTGTTCGTCTGAGTGGATCCACCATCTGCCAGCAGGTTAAGAGACACAGATCGATCAGCAGCATTCCCCCGACAATAATCCATAGTTGGTAATCCTTAATAATCTGAAGAAAGAACAGAGAGGGAGAGGATGAATATTAAATATTAGACAGGAGAGATGGCGATTAAAAGGCCTGTACAATCTCTTACCTTTTAAACTTTGAGTTTACCTTTTTCATTATCTCCTTATTGTTGACGATTGTCCAGACCCTCCAGGTTTTTGCAAACAATGCCCCAAAAGTTGTGGTGTATCCTACAGAAAGAATCCATGTGCGAATATGTGACAAGAGGAGGAAAATGTCTAAAACAATATGCATCCCTTTAAAATAAGGGTTCTCTCTCCTTATCACTAAAATGCTTAGACATTTAAGCTCATGTGTACTCACAGGGCAAAGCGTGACAAACACTTTGTCAGTCACAAGGGATCCATCCAGCCCATAGAGGAAGACGGAGGTACAGGCCAGCATCGTACCCAGGATAATGAGGTAGTTCATGGACGGACTGGACTTCTTAATGACCCTATGGGAAAAACTAAATATTGAGATATTTTAACAGGCTGCCTTGTCTGAGCAGAGCATGTGACTAAGTAAGATGGACAACAATGAAAGAAAAAACAAGCTTGTGTTTCGATGTAAGCTACCTCAAAAAGTATCTAGTTCAATTACAAGCCAATACAAGATGCTTGGAATAATGATCATACCAATGGTTGCGATACTTGATGTGGAAGAAGAGGAAGGAGAGTGCCATGAGTATAGCCAGGCCAGTGGTGGATGACAAGATGATGTAGAGGGGAACACTGACATCCCACCGCTGGGAGTGTGTCCGGTCTTTAGGCGGCTCCATCCCTATGAAAGGCACAAAAAAGTAGAATGCAAAGACTGTCAAAAAAAAAAAGCTCAAATGGAAAATTGGTGGTCATTTTTGTAATAGTTGAGGTGTCATCATGAACTTGCTTAATGCCTTGTCCTAATACTGTAGATCCTACCTTGAAACCTGATTAAGTGGTTGATGAGTTCCAATACTTCTGCTTCAGCATTATACTGGCCTATCTGGACCTCCCGGCCCTCTGTGGAAACACAAGCAGTTGATAAATATTTCACAAAGAATGTTCTCTAAATTCATGGAAATACACATCTGTAATGTTTACCTTGAAATTGGCTTAAGTTAATAGTTCCCATGCGTTCACCATTTCTAAACAGAACTTGACCCTGAAAAAAAAAAAGAAACTGTCAATTTGAGAAAATGATTTGTAAAACACATCTTATCTTTAGTCTTTTGGAGCAATGATCTATCTAAAATGGAATGTTAACACAACAGTCATGCTAACTTACAGTTACACCCTCAAAGCGGATTTCCTTCATGGAATCCAGGACCATTCGTCCAATCTCCTTATCGCTGACTGTGAAGTTCCGGTGGATGTCATATCTCTCTCTGTATCTTACCGACTCAATGACCCTGGTCATTGCTTTCACCATCACCCAAACTCCATCATAGGCAAACCCATGGAACTTGCTGGCAACTAACCCTTTCTGCAGCAGCTCTCTGTTGTAAGTCTCGTCATACTCTTGTGGGGTCTAAACAGAAACACAAAGGTGCTTGTTTAACTTATCTTAATGCTCTTGTGTTACCTTTGCAACATTGCAAATACACCATTTGATGTTTTCAACATTATGGCCAATTTCTGTTATAAACACTACTTATCCATCAGAGAGAGAATGGTACAGTATCGACGGAATATGCTGTTCCTTGCTGAAAACCTCAGTACCTACCCTTCCTGAGATGCCTTTGATCTGTCTGTTACTGAGGTGTGTGAAGTCCACAATGATGTGGCCCTCCATAGCGGTCAGCAGGTTGTTTGAAGTACAGTTGGAGGAGTTAGCCTTCTCCCACCAGCTCCCATGGTAACCGCCAGGGAGGATCCACTGATACCTCCTGCCAAACATGTTCAGGCTATAAGCCTAGAAGAAAAAGGTTATAGGGTAATTACAAAGGCAAATGGTTATCATAAAGATAATTTAAAAATAATAGTATGATGAATGCTCTGTTAAACTGCCATTAATCTTTGTCTCAAACAAGTGCTAATCATCAATGATGGCATGGTGTTGCATCGCATCAGATTTAAACAGAGGTTTTCTGGTTATGTACTCACACAGCAAAACACTTTAGATGCTGAATTCTCGTCAAACAACCCAATAATGATCCTTACATCCATATCCTGTCGAAAGGGACATGATACAAAACAAAGAAAAGGCAGAGCCTTGAGATTGACACGTTGAGGATGCATCTGCAATTTTCTGAAATTATGCAATTGAGTGTCTAATTCAAACATTGTAAGTAAAGATGATTTGGGCATATAACTCACCTTCAATTTCTTTACATTGACACATGGGTCAGTGGACAGGCTTTCAGTTACAGCAACCATAACATCAGCCTTGCTCAGTTGTTTAGTCAGATCTCTCCTTATCTGTCAAGGACAGGACAATATAAACTTCAGATTTCACAGATAAGACAGCATAGTTGTCAGCAGTCTGAATCAATAGACTACTGCCTGATATCTTTGTATCCCTGCTTGTAAATGGTGATAACGTCTACATTGTACACCAGCTGAAACAGCCATGTGACGGAAAGTGTTACCAAGGTCAGTGGTACCTCTGAGATCCTCTGTACATCCTGGGTCAGAGTTCCTACACGCCTCCACTTGTAGTTCTGTAGGATCTTCACAACAGCCTGATTGACTGTGTTGTCCGAGGTGACCATTCGGAAGAAGTTGGGATATTTTTTCTCATAATCTAAAACAGGCGTTGTTGCAGCGAAATATAGCTGAAATATTGAATGTGCGATAATGTTAGGCTAGAAGAGCACAAATATCATTATTTGAAGTACCAGCAATTGTGTGATTTGCATGTACAGTGCATTCGGAAAGTATTCAGACCCCTTGACTTTTTCCACATTTTGTTACATTACAGTCTTGTCCTAAAATTGATTAAATTATTTTTTTCCCCCTCATCAATCTACACACAATACCTCATAATGACAAAGCGAAAAAAGTTGTTTTTATTTTCTCAAAGGAATTTTCCGTAGCACTCCGAGACAGGATTGTGTTGAGGCACAGATCTGGGGAAGGGTACCAAAAAATTTCTGCAGCATTGAAGGTCGTCAAGAACACAGTGGCCTCCATAATTCTTAAATGGAAGAAGTTTGGAACCACCAAGACTCTTCCTAAAGCTGGCTGCCCGGCCAAACTGAGCAATCGGGGGAGAAGGGCCTTGGTCAGGGAGGTGACCAAGAACCCGATGGTCACGCTGACAGAGTTCTAGAGTTCCTCCTTGGAGATGGGAGAACCTTCCAGAAGGACAGCCATCTCTGCAGCACTCCACCAATCAGGCCTTTATGGTAGAGTGGCCAGACGGAAGCTACTCCTCAGTAAAAGGCACATGAAAGCCTGCTTGGAGTTTGCCAAAAGGCACCTAAAGACTCTCAGACCATGAGAAACAAGATTCTCTGGTCTGATGAAACCAAGATTGAACTATTTGGCCTGAATGCCAAGCGTCACATCTGGAATCTCTGCCAAAGGTGCTTCAACAAAGTACTAAGTAAAGGGTCTGAATACTTATGTAAATCTGATACAGTGGGGAAAAAAAGTATTTAGTCAGCCACCAATTGTGCAAGTTCTCCCACTTAAAAAGATGAGAGAGGCCTGTAATTTTCATCATAGGTACACGCCAACTATGACAGACAAAATGAGAAAAAAAATTCCAGAAAATCACATTGTAGGATTTTTTATGAATTTATTTGCAAATTATGGTGGAAAATAAGTATTTGGTCAATAACAAAAGTTTCTCAATACTTTGTTATATACCCTTTGTTGGCAATGACACAGGTCAAACGTTTTCTGTAAGTCTTCACAAGGTTTTCACACACTGTTGCTGGTATTTTGGCCCATTCCTCCATGCAGATCTCCTCTAGAGCAGTGATGTTTTGGGGCTGTCACTGGGCAACACGGACTTTCAACTCCCTCCAAAGATTTTCTATGGGGTTGAGATCTGGAGACTGGCTAGGCCACTCCAGGACCTTGAAATGCTTCTTACGAAGCCACTCCTTCGTTGCCCGGGCGGTGTGTTTGGGATCATTGTCATGCTGAAAGACCCAGCCACGTTTCATCTTCAATGCCCTTGCTGATGGAAGGAGGTTTTCACTCAAAATCTCACAATACATGGCCCCATTCATTCTTTCCTTTACACGGATCAGTCGTCCTGGTCCCTTTGCAGAAAAACAGCCCCAAAGCATGATGTTTCCACCCCCATGCTTCACAGTAGGTATGGTGTTCTTTGGATGCAACTCAGCATTCTTTGTCCTCCAAACACGACGAGTTGAGTTTTTACCAAAAAGTTCTATTTTGGTTTCATCTGACCATATGACATTCTCCCAATCCTCTTCTGGATCATCCAAATGCACTCTAGCAAACTTCAGACGGGTCTGGACATGTACTGGCTTAAGCAGGGGGACACGTCTGGCACTGCAGGATTTGAGTCCCTGGCGGCGTAGTGTGTTACTGATGGTAGGCTTTGTTACTTTGGTCCCAGCTCTCTGCAGGTCATTCACTAGGTCCCCCCGTGTGGTTCTGGGATTTTTGCTCACCGTTCTTGTGATCATTTTGACCCCACGGGGTGAGATCTTGCGTGGAGCCCCAGATCGAGGGAGATTATCAGTGGTCTTGTATGTCTTCCATTTCCTAATAATTGCTCCCACAGTTGATTTCTTCAAACCAAGCTGCTTACCTATTGCAGATTCAGTCTTCCCAGCCTGGTGCAGGTCTACAATTTTGTTTCTGGTGTCCTTTGACAGCTCTTTGGTCTTGGCCATAGTGGAGTTTGGAGTGTGACTGTTTGAGGTTGTGGACAGGTGTCTTTTATACTGATATCAAGTTCAAACAGGTGCCATTAATACAGGTAACGAGTGGAGGACAGAAGAGCCTCTTAAAGAAGAAGTTACAGGTCTGTGAGAGCCAGAAATCTTGCTTGTTTGTAGGTGACCAAATACTTATTTTCCACCATAATTTGCAAATAAATTCATTAAAAATCCTACAATGTGATTTTCTGGATTTTTTTCCCTCAATTTGTCTGTCATAGTTCACGTGTACCTATGATGAAAATTACAGGCCTCTCTCATCTTTTTAAGTGGGAGAACTTGCACAATTGGTGGCTGACTAAATACTTTTTTTCCCCACTGTATCTCCGTTGTTTAAATTAATTTAATACATTTTAGAATAAGGCTGTAATGTAACAAAATGTGGAAAAAGTAAAGGGGTCTGAATGCTTTCCGAATGCACTGTATGTCACCTATTAAATAACATGCTCTATTCTGATAAACAATACATTGTGATGTAAAATGTTTGCTCAGTGCCTGATACCTGTACAAGGTTCCACCGCTGTAGTGATTCAGCAAGGACGGATGTGACTGATGGACACACACCTCCAAAGATCATTAAGTATTTAGGCCCAAAGCATATAGCATCAAAGAAGGCTTTAAGTCCTTTGGCAGTATCACACTAAAAGACAAAGAGAAAACAAAGTGAACTGTCCCACTCCCTTCATCATGACTCCAAATGCACTGAATAGCTTACATTAGGTGGGTTTTTTTTGCATTAAAATACACTCATTTTCACATTGTTCTCCACGTAAACAATGTACACACCACTAACAGAGGCTTGTTGGTCAAAAACCACAAGTCCACTAATACACCAGCAAATGTTACCTCTGAATCTATGATGTGAAAATTGATCTCATAGTTTCTTAGAGGAGTCTGCTGCTTGCTCAGGTCGTCTAGAGCGAGCTGGACAGCAGGCAACACGGATGCCGTGAGGTTTCCCCGCCCTGGGTTGTCTGTCAGTGGCATGATCCACAAGACTGGCAGAGAGTGGCGAACCTGGGTCAGAGAGGGGACAACGAGCAGCCATGAGAGAACCAGGACCTGTCCTGAGCTTGCTCGTCCACCGCCACTCATCCTTTTCTTTTGTCCCTTCCACTTCCCCGTCTCCTCCCCCTGGTGCCTCTCTCCTCCTGACTAGCACACACATCCTGTAAGGGGGTCAGGTCCTAGTTAACCTTAATCCTCGTCTGTTCCAGCCAGGCCATTCCACGCACAGCGGCTGCTCCCTCAAGAGAATCCACTGAAGAGGATAAAGGGATAAGGTGCTGGCCGTGACTGACTAGGTTACCTACATCTGCCACTCTGATCCCACTACACACATTCACTGCTTGCTATGCTTTGGTTTTATTCTGGAAGGGAATTCACTTTTAATATAACTTTTCAATATTTTGTCATTTACATGTAGGTTATCCCAATGTGGATTATGAAGAAATATAGCTCCACAATCAGACTTATAGGCTAAAGAAATGGTCTGTGATTGACAGCTGATGTTTTGACAGGGAAGGAACACCTTTGTGTTCAAGACCGCTCTACCTTCAAATTCTGGCATCATTACATTTTCACCACAAGATGGGATTGTTGTTCAGCTTCTCAAGAGAGCACTAGCAGAACATTCAATGAACTTCTTTCTCCAGCAATAACATTCATTAATTGCGTTCCTTTGAAAAGTATAAGTGTTATTATTGTTCTGCATGTAGTTGCAGAACAAGCTATAATACATTTTCTATAAAAATATAACATCAAAATGACCAGCGCAATCATGTTAAACAATCAGGTTAAACTTTATTTCCATAATTGAATGAAACAAAATATTGAACTTAAGTATAAGAGCACAAAAAAAAGGTCTCATCTGTCATGAAACAGTTCCACCCAAGTCAGACAATTCAGGCTTGACCTATGAACTTAGGCACTCCCTCGCATCCTCTCTCCCAGAAAGTGAGGCATAACACAATAACAGAAAAGTTGGGAAGGTTGACTTTTAGTGCACCCATCAGCCGATGGGGACTGTCCTGTGATGTTAACAGGTTGGTCCAAAGTCCTCTTCCACACCCAGATCACATCTCATTCCTGCCCTGCCAGCGCCCCCTTACCATGACTCTGGCCTTTCCCTGGCCCTCTGGATCGACCAGTCTGTCTGACAGGGCCTCCTGGTCCCTTACCCCTTCCACCACCACCACCACCACCACCCCCCCTCTTCCTCCTGCCCCCATGCCTCTGTCCACCAGCCACCCCTGCATCCTCCTTGGCAGCCTGTGCCCACAGGGCATCAAAGTTCCCTGGAGCCTGGTACCCAGGCAGGCTGGCATCCAGGGGGTCTCTGGAGAGCAGTACCCAAATAGCAGGTATGTTCCTGTTGACGGTGAGGCTGTCCAGGCCTGCCGCAGGCTCCAGGGGTTCCCACACCTCCAGGACAGTGCTGAAGAGCAGCCTGGTCTGCTGGTGCAAGCCTTTCACACGGCGCTTCAGGATCTCCACACATGTGATGGTCTTGGAGACCCCCTTCCCCGTCCCAGTGAATACTATCTGCCGGCTGGGCATCTTTTCCGGTGCCTGGGAGCATGTTGCTTCCTGGACCTCGGTTGTGCTACCCCCTTCTTCGCTCTTAGGACGCCCCCCCTCGCCCTCCAGCGCCCTGGGCTTGACCTCCATGCGGCTCAGGGCGTAGCGCATGAGGTTGCGGATCTTGCTGCCGTCCTTCACACGAACCTCAGTGGTGTCGCTGGAGAGGCCAGGGAATGGGCAGGGACAGGGCTGCTCCACCGTCCGCGCCTTACTGTAGTTCTCCATGTCACCTGTTCTTCATCTTTGTAGACAGACAGAGAGATACACACAGACAGAATATTTGATCAACATTTTAGTCATTTAGCAGACGCTCTTATCCAGAGCAACTTACAGTTAGTGAATGCATACATGTTTGTTTAGGTTTTTTTTCATACTGGCCCTCCGTGGGAAACAAACCCACATCCCTGCCGGCCAAACCCTCCCCTACCTTGGACGACGCTGGACCAATTGTGCGCCGCCCATGGGGTCTCCCGGTCGCGGCCGGCTGCAACAGAGACTGGACTCGAACCAGGATCTCTAGTGGCACAGCTCGCACTGCAATGCAGTGCCTTAGACCACTGAGCCACTCGGGAGTCTACAACACGGTCAACACGGTATTAGAACTACAGTAGCCTCAGACTTTGACTTAATACTCTTGCTGCCATATCCCTTAATTACCTAGCTGAATACTCTGGCTGTAGCTGGCCAAGTACCTCCTTAGTAAAACGTTAATATAATACCACTGACTGTTTCGTTGAGATTCAATTGGCATATGCGCATTCGCGCCGAGTTAACGTTTTATAGCAACAGCCATGAGGAAACAGTCGGTGGTTGTTTTTGTTTAACGTTTTATTAAAAAGGTATGGATTTCAGCAAACAAAAAAAGGCACGCAACAACAGAGGACAAACATAGGTACACGATATGGGTTTAAGAATTTATATTTTTTGAAGTATCAACTGCATAGCGACTCGAAGGAGACGGAGCTTAATTTTAAAAAACTGAGGTCCGTTTAAAAAACGTAGCTCAACTCTGTGGAGTTAAGGTACTTGGCACATTCTTGTTGTAACTAACTACTGTTAGGTAGGTATGTCAGCCATGAAGAGCCATTTGCTATCTTTTTTTTCTTCTATCTAATCAAGATTAACTTCATTATAAAACTCACGTATTTACAAAAAGCCAGTCGTAAGCATCGCGTGTGTTCTGATCACACTTGTTAATACAGTCAAATAAACAGTTTAATTATTTCTTACCCGAAAACATAGGACATGTGTACTGTCGCAACCCCATCCACATCACATGACCGTATGTCGCAAAGGGCTCTGATCGTATGACGTTCGCCGCTGCTGCAAAATGCATTAACCAGCCCGGGTACATTCTGGGAGTTGTAGGAGTTAAATAAATGCAATCGCTTTACTTTTTAAAACATGACTGACTGGACATAACCACAGAGTTTCTAAAACCATACGAAACCGTATTTGACATAACCACATTAGTAGGGTGGAAGTGTTTGAAGAATATTAATAAGTTGTCTCAGAGAAAATATTTGTTTTAATGGTTTGCTAGAGCAATTTCTTCGGGTTATCTATATTGCAGGAGGTTTCGTTACCAAATGATTATAAGAACACTTGTGCCAAAGATGCCATAAGTGATCACATGTGCCAGACACCGTTTGTATTCCTCAGCTAGAGCGTCATTAGTGTACGTCACATTGGTAGGTTTCGTTTTCGAATGTAGGTTGCCAATGAGGGATTTTGTGTTCACAACACTTAATGTGTTGTGAAATCTGTTGTGAATGTATTGTAATGTTTTTAAAACTGTATAACTGCCCTCATTTTGCTGGACCCCAGGAAGAGTAGCTGCTGCCTTGGCAGCATCTAATGGGGAACCATAATAATATAAATACCAATAGGAGTCGGCAGACAGGCTCTGAATCCTGGCTCAGTCACTAGACAACCAAGGACAACGTTTTTATTTCTGTTTGAGTATGTTAAATAATCAGATTAGACAACTCCTTTGTTATTGTTACCAACTTATTGTATTACTTTCATACAGGATTTCTATAAGAATAAGTGTGTGTGTGTGTGTGTGTGTGTGTGTGTGTCAGAGGCCAGTCTGAGGCCCCCACCCAGAGCCTTTTGGGGGCCTTAAGTGAGATTTGGTTTTAGCCCAAATCAGCCAAGATTACTACAAGGTTTAGTTGGCTGGCTAGACTAATTTACCTATCTATAGAATGTTAGCTGACATGGGCTAATTGAGTGACTGTCAGTGACTGACATAACAAGAGGAAAACTGCTGATGCACTACCAAATTTCGAAATTACAACCTTGTCTATTCTACTATTCTAACTGCCAACAGTAAATTGAGAGTAATACAATTCAAAAATCATAATGTTAGCCATTAAAATCAACATGCATTCCCAACACACAAACGCACACTTATATTCGTATAGAAATCCTGTATGAAAGTAATACAAAAAGTTGGTAATAACAATGAGTTGGGTAATCTGAGCCTGTGTAGGGAACTGATTAGAATGTGTCTTTACAGAAAAGCAGGTTGATTTTGTTTAGTAAATTTTTTTGTTGATAGTTTGTATGATATTGTATTTATTTTTACCCCAAAATAAATACTTTTGGGATCCTTATTATCCACCCGCACAGTAGGTGGCGGAATGCACATCCAATTGTTGCGAACGCCATTATACCATAGATGAAGAATAATAATAATAAGGTCGAGTATGAAAAATGTATGCACTCACTAACTGGAAGTCGCTCTGGATAAGAGCGTCTGCTAATTTACTAAAATGTAAATGTAAATGTCTCGCGCCGACTGCGCATGTGCAGGCCGTAACAGGCACTCTTTCGATATTAAGTATTTTGTGACTTTTGGATGTACTCCGCCATAAAACCCACAGAAGAAGAAGTAGTAGTTTGTGACGAAAATAAAAACGTGTCAGTTTGTCACTTTTACGAAGTTGGAGTAATAACATGTTCAAATACTTGCCTTTAGATTTCGAGAAAATTAACTACTAAGGAAGATTTGTTCACCTCTCATTGACTTTTCAAACCCTGGCTTAGTTTACTAAATTCACTCTGGCTATCTACTGCGATTTCAGAGCACTCTCGTCTGATTGTGCGAGAGCGCAGAATAACTGAGGAATTTACAAACGTGCAACACCAGTTGAATATGACCAGTGTCAGTCAACGTCGGCAAAAAAGGTAATTCAATTGTTACCAGCAGCACAGTTACTAATGCTCTAGATAACATGAAAACAGCCTAACCAGCTCTGCTAAGGCGAGGAAACTGGTTAGAGTGAGGTGTTCTCTCATTTGTCTGGAAGTAGCTAGCTAACTTTAGCCAGTAAGCTTGGGTGCTTGACTGACATTGTGACGTCAGAATGCGCGGATCAACCCTACTCCTCAGCCAGAGCGTCCAGTGAGCAAAACGCTCTGAATTTACGAACGCCCAGAACTCTGGCACTCTGGAGTGAATTTACGAACACACCCTAAGTCTGCTTCCCAAGCGTTCCCCGAAGTCTCGCGATGTTGCGTCTCTGGTTTGAGAAACTCTGTGCTTGTTGACACGTTCACGTGCTAGTCAGAACTTGGAAACTCGGAAATGTCAGACTTGCTAACTGGTTGTATGTAAAGTACCAGTCAAAATTTTGGACACACCGAATCATTCCAGGGTTTTTCTTTATTTTCACTATTTTCTACATTGTATAATGATAGTGAAGACATCAAAACTATGAAATAACACATATGGAATCATGTAGTAACCAAAAAAGTGTTAAACAAATCAAAATATTTTTTTGATTTTAGATTCTTCAAAGTAGCCACCCTTTGCCTTGATGACAACTTTGCACACTCTCAACCAGCTTCAACTGGAATGCTTTTACAACAGTCTTGAAGGAGTTCACACAAATGCTGAGCACTTGTTGGCTGTTTTTCCTTCACTCTGAGGTCCAACTCATCCCAAACCATCTCAGTTGGGTTGAGGTCGGGTGATTGCGGAGGCCAGGTAATCTGTTGAAGCACTCCATCACTCTCCTTCTTGGTCAAATAGCCCTTACACAGCCTGGAGGTGTGTTGGGTCCAGAGCATATGAGCGGAGTGGAGCGGTGAGAATCTCAGCTCCTCGCTCACGGAGCTGTTCACCCCTCCGCTCCCCCCGCTCAAAGCCACATCAGGCCAGTCCGCTCATTATCGCTCAGCGCTCAACGCAGTTTGCATCGCGCTCCACTCAAATCGCCCCCCGCTCACTCCAAAAAAGGAACAAAATCTGCATATATTTCACTTTTAGCTTAAACCACAGCCTTACTTTATCTCCCCAAATTTGTTGCATACAGACTCATCTCGGATTATCCATTCTGTCTTGAAACGGGGATCTAACACTGACGCTAAAATGAGATGTTAATCAGTATAGTATATTCCATAGCGAATTGACACGTTGTTTGCCAATGTTTCTGCAAAAGCAGCGATGCCCATTGGAAGTGCAGCGTGAGTGTAATCGGTGAGCAGGGATTTGATTTCTGTGACAGCAGGGAGGATCATCCCCAGGTTCCCCAGCTCCTTCTGCATTTTGTCTGTGAGGTCTGCTAGTGGTGTCAGCACACTGACAAGGTGCGTCAGCTGCCGTACTTGATTCAGGGTGATGTTAGCAACATTAGACTTGAGTTTGTTTTACCATAACGGGTCTTTTTGGAACAACCGGATGAACGACTGAATCATCCGCAGCTGGCTGCTCCATCGAATGGCGCAGGCATTTGTGGGGCGGACACCTAATTGGTCGGTTTCCTCTGTGCTCTTTGCGTACACTTTTCACCAGGTGCCCGACTTTCACTAACAGCCTATTAATGTTGTCGTGCTTGTTAACGGCGTTTTTGATCGCCAGCTGAAGCATGTGAATGGGGCATCACAGATGTAAATTTGACAAAGTAAAGTACTGATTTATCATAGTTTCTTGGGGGAGTGTAGCCCGGTTGAGCTGAGCTGGCGAAGTGTTGCATCCCTTCGCGTTCTCCTTTACTCAGCGGTTCATAGTCCATGAAAATCATTTTAAAAAATGCTACATCCAGCTCTCTTTTTCTCTCCCTTGTTATGGTTGGGCCTTTGCGTGCAGTGAATAAACTTTTGAATTCCTCAACCCTTTTCTCTTGTTGCTGCTGCTGCTCCTCTCGCTCTATAAAATACAAATTCATGGACGACACAAATTAAATTAAACAGATGGATTCTGGGTCAGGCTTGAGCATGCTTCAGACTCGTGGTGTGAGCGAGCGAAATTGGAGCGGGGCATAGGGCGACGCTCCGTCCTTTTAAAAATGCCGCTCTGCGCTCTGTTCAAAATCCGTCCGCTCACGCTCCACGCTCGCTCCCGCTCCACTCCGCTCATATGCTCTGGTTGGGTCAATGTCCTGTTGAAAAACAAATGATAGTCCCACTAAGCACAAATCAGATGGGATGGCGTATCGCTGCAGAATGCTGTGGTAGCCATACTGGTTAAGTGTGAATTCTAAATAAATCACAGATAGTGTCACCAGCAAAGCACCCCCACACAATCACACCTCCTCCTCCATGCTTCACGGTGGGAACCACACATGCTGAGATCATCCATTCACCTACTCTGTGTCTCACAAAGACACGGCGGTTGGAACCAAAAATCTCACAATTGGACTCATAAGACCAAAGGACAGATTTCCATCAGTCTAATGTCCATTGCTCGTGTTTCTTTAGTAGTGTTTTCTTTGCCTCAATTCAACCATGAAGGCGTGATTCACACAGTCTCTTCTGAACAGTTGATGTTGAGATGTGTCCGTTACTTGAACTCTGTGAAGCATTTATTTGGGCTGCAATCTGAGGCTGGTAACTCTATTGAATTTATCCTCTGCAGCAGAGGTAACTCTGGCTCTTCCTTTCCTGTGGCGGTCCTCATGAGAGCCAGTTTCAACATAGCACTTGATGGTTTTTGCGACTGCACTTGAAGAAACTTTCAAAGTTCTTGAAATGTTCCGGATTGACTGACCTTCATGTCTTAAAGAAATGACAGACTGTCGTTTCTCTTTGCTTATTTGAGCTGTTCTTGCCATAATCTGGACATTATTTTACCAAATAGGGCTATCTTCTGTATACCACCCCTACCTTGTCACAACACAACTGTTTGGCTCAAACGCATTAAGAAGGAAATAAATTACATAAATTAACTTTTAAGAATGCACACCTGTTAATTGAAATGTATTCCAGGTGACTACCTCATGAAGCAGGTTGAGAGAATGCCACGTGTGTGCAAAGCTGTCATCAAGGCAAAGAGTGGCTACTTTGAAGAATCTCAAATATAACATATATTTTGATTTGTTAAACACTTTTTTGGTTACTACATGATTCCATATGTGTTATTTCATAGTGCTGATGTCTTCACTATTATTCTACAATGTAGAAAATATTAAAAATAAATAAAAACCCGTCTTAAAGAAATGACAGACTGTCGTTTCTCTTTGCTTATTTGAGCTGTTCTTGCCATAATCTGGACGTTCTTTTACCAAATAGGGCTATCTTCTGTATACCACCCCTACCTTGTCACAACACAACTGTTTGGCTCAAACGCATTAAGAAGGAAATAAATTACATAAATTAACTTTTAAGAATGCACACCTGTTAATTGAAATGTATTCCAGGTGACTACCTCATGAAGCTGGTTGAGAGAATGCCACCTGTGTGCAAAGCTGTCATCAAGGCAAAGAGTGGCTACTTTGAAGAATCTCAAATATAACATATATTTTGATTTGTTAAACACTTTTTTGGTTACTACATGATTCCATATGTGTTATTTCATAGTGTTGATGTCTTCACTATTATTCTACAATGTAGAAAATATTAAAAATAAATTTTTGCATGTGAACACGGCATCTCTTCACAGGTCGCTTGTCGCGCGTCAACCAGGCTAAACGAAACCTAGATAAACCGATTACCTGCACATGAAGAAAACCAAACGGATGTTATCTAGCCCCGAGGAAATTGATTTAGCAAACCATACAAATAAAAAACATTACAAAAACATTAAACCGTACAAAACCATTCATCTTAAACATAAAAAAAACAAACAATTGGGAATACTTCCTTATTATTATACTTCAAAACACTTTAAACCTACAAATGTAATGAAGGCTACAAAACACAATGTTGCGCAAAGTCAGGCTCTGGCTGAAAATCTGCATTTTAAAATGTTTTGTTTGTTTGGGGGGGCAGGATAATTGACAAGGATTCAACTTGATTTAACTCTGATCGCTGTTATTACTATAATTTTTATATGGCAAACATTGACAATAATTGTTCATGCCATGAGAGGCTCAAATTAAGCAATTTAAGCAATTCGAATGCATAAGATAAGTACTGAACATAATTTTACCATAATTGCACACAAAAAACATCTAAACACATTTCCACCCTCATGACTGTAATATAAAGTCCCATAAACGAGTCTATGCCTACTGTGATCAGAGACAGTATGGGAGTGACTTAGATGAGGGATGGAAAGTGAAACTTAAGGAAAGGGAAACTCATCCATTAATGCTAGACTCACTTAGTCAGTCCCATGACCACTGAAACTCTTCACTAGGAAAGACATCCCCAGACAGAGCACACCATGGGCGTCCAGGGATTGACCAGCTTTATGGAGAAGAATGGAAACATTTTAAAAGATGTTCACCTCAGAAACAGCAAGCTGATCATAGATGGTAGTAATCTGTACAACTTGCTTTATTTTAAACCACGTTTGGATCAGAATCATGGAGGGGATTATGATGCTTTTGAGGGTCAGGTCTGCAAGTTCTTTAAGGCTCTGAAAGACTGCGGCATTGACCCTTATGTCATTTTAGATGGGGGCTCTGACTACACCGACAAAAAGTTTGAAACTCTCAAAGAACGAGCTCAATCAAGGATCAACACAGCCAACAGCTTGTCGATGGGGCATCAGGTGAGTGGTGTACTACCAATCCTCATCAAACATGTCTTCAAACAGGTCCTCTCCAGCCTGAAGGTGCCTTTCGCAGAGTGCATTTGTGAGGCAGACCAAGAAATAGCCTCCCTGGCTCAAAGGTGGAACTGTCCAGTGCTGTCCAATGACAGTGACTTTTATATCTTTGACATCCAGTCAGGATGTCTGCCCATCTCCCATTTTCACTGGGAGAAAGTGTCTATGTACCGTGGGAGCTCTATAAAATACATTCCCTGCAAGCTCTACACCACAACAAGCTTCTGCAGACACTTCAACATCAACAGACAGGTTCTCCCAGTCTTCGCCGCTGTGGCAGGAAATGACTACATCAACTTGCGTAACATGGGCGTTTCCCTCAGGTGGGAAGAATACTCGTCGATGGAAGGAAGGTTTGCCCGCTTCGACGGCTTGCTGAATTGGCTGGCCCGCTTCCAGGGGCAGAAGGAGGCCTTGGACTCTGTGCTCAGGCTTATCTTTCATGGTAACAACAGACAGAAAATGGATGCTGCCTGCCAGGGCCTCTCCCTGGGCATAGAAGAGTACCATCTTCCCCCTGGTTGCCTGGAGCGGTTCTTCAACGATGGAGTGGGACCAGGCCTAGGCCGTCTCGCAGAGCCTCTGAGGGTCCTTCCAGACTGGACCCTGCTGCCGTTGATGAAAGGTACTCTTCCCTCCACCATGGTGGATGTGCTGCTGCTGAGGAGGGTGATGCACAGTGTTCAGGTGGAAGATCCCCGCTTGCCTAGTGGGAACAACACCTCACGGCCCATACGCCAGGTACTCTACGGGCTGCTGCTGGGTGGGAGGAGGACAGACCACAGCAGTCAGAGACCCCCAGTGGATGACGTGGAGGAGTATTACAGGGAAGGCAATAACCTGACCAGCAGCATGGTTGAAGCCATCCTGCCCAGTACTGCAGAACAGCTGCAGCTAGACACTCTGGATCAGGTATGTATACATGTCTATGATATAGTATACAGTACATTCAAACATACTGCTGTTGATTCTCAAATTGATTCTCATTCTCTTGCTCTGTTCCTTAGGCTCCAAGGTCAGTGCAGCTTGAGGTGTTTTTGGAGACACTTGGTGTGTCCCAGTCCACTTTGAGCGGTGTCCCGCCTCATTTGCGTCTTCCTGTGGCTGTCACCTGCTACTGGCTGAGGCACGCCCATCCCCCAATAGACCTGCCTCTCCTGCAGGCCCTGCTACTAGGATTGGTGTACGGAGAGCTCTGCAGACAGAGGAGGAGCCAAAGAGGTATGGCCCAGAGCATGAACAAGAAAACACACAATTTACAATTGATAAATATTGAAGTGTGAGAAGTGCAGCCACTGACTCCTCCCTTTTTTGTGTAACAGGGTTTCTGGAGGGACCAGTGTTGGAGAGGCTGAGAGGGCTGATTCAGAGAGGTGCAAGGAGCCTAGACCTGGGTGTGGCCCACGCCTACAGCCAATGGCAGTGCTGCCTGAAAGAAAGCCTTTACCTGAACCAACTGCTGTGCCTCCCGCTAGCCGAGCCTCAGTGTGCCTGGTAAGGTGTCCCTTCCTAAATCAACCCTTGCCCCTAAACCTAGACCAGTGGTATTCATTCACATTGTATTCTAGCCCAACAGAAACACAGCTAATTCAACCATATTTTGTTTCCCTGGTGGTGTCTAGGCTGTACAAGGGCACTCTGGTGCACCAGCTTGTGACCAAACTGAGAGGGGGGTTAACCCCAGATTCTCTCCTGATGGGAGGCCCTTGCTCTGGGCAGCTGTATAGGGCCATGCTGGGAGCCATACTCAACTCCCATGATGCTCATGAGGCTGCTGTCATCCCCTTGGTGTCTGGGCCACAGCGGGCCACACCTCCATCCTTGTCACAGCCACTGGACGACCTGACATTCCGTCTACACATTCTGGCTCTGGAAGAAGATGATGATGATGGTGCTGCAGGAGGGAGGAAGGTCATGCCAGAGGACGATCTGGGTTGGACTTTGGTCACAGTGCAGACCCGCCACAAGAAAAAGGACAGATTCAACCGAGCTCGGAATCCAGAATTCTCCCGGAAGCAGGGGCGGATCGGCTGGGAGTAAGGAGGGGCCACAATATAACTGTTTAGTTATAGAGACGTTCTGCTCAACTCTTTCATATTTTTATTGTTCTTATGTGTACCTTTTATAACTTAATTGACATTGTTTTTAGCATGAACTATAAAATAAGTGTATAAAAGATAGATGTAGATTTTATAAATGATAGAAGACGGAAAAGTTTATAATATATAAACATAAAAAAGTGATGATAAATTTGACTTTGTTTAATCGGTTTTTATTTCTTTGCTCTCTACTGTAAAGCATATTTTGGTCATTGAAAATAGCTGTACAAATCCCATGTATTGTTACAATTACATTACTGCTGCTCTGGAAATATTTTATCATCAAAATGAAAATAACATTTAAACCAGCTGTTCTTGAGAATTATTGGGTATTCACAATAAAGTATCTCTGCTATGGCAGTATATTTTATATGGAAATCTTTAACTGAACAAATCTTAGATATTGTACTTTTTAGCTTAATCACAATTTTTCATAATTGTGTCAGTGTAGCTGAAAATGTATGACACTTAAAGGTAGATGTCTCGCAGCTGCAATCATGTTCTGTGCAAAGTGTGGTAATTTTGTTTTCAATGTTCAACTGCTTTGCTAGATCCATAAAATGCTCAGCGCACGTTTCAGCATAGGATGGAAGCAAATGTAAGTAATTATTACAGAAAACGTTTGACCTGTGTCATTGCCAACAAAGGGTATATAACAAAGTATTGAGAAACTTTTGTTATTGACCAAATACTTATTTTCCACCATAATTTGCAAATAAATTCATTAAAAATCCTACAATGTGATTTTCTGGATTCTTTTTTCTCATTTTGTCTGTCATAGTTGATGTGTACCTATGATGAAAATTACAGGCCTCTCATCTTTTTAAGTGGGAGAACTTGCACAATTGGTGGCTGACTAAATACTTTTTTCCCCCACTGTACATGTAGTTATTACATTTACATTTTAGTCATTTAGCAGACGCTCTTATCCAGAGCGACTTACAGTTAGTGAGTGCATACATTTTTTCATACCATGCATGAGATCCCCACATTGTAGCATGTACATTGAATATGTTCACTGATCATGTACTCTACCTTGGCAAATAAAGGTGCAGTTCAGGTATGAATGTCTGTGAGACATTATTTTTCAGTCATATCCAATACCAGGAGTATCAAACTCCAGTCTTTTAATTAACACTTTGTCTGCATGTATGTATTACAATTATACACTTCAACAGTGTTTACCAATTCTGGTCCTGGGACATCAATGGTTACACATTAACTATGCAATACACCACAAACATGATTTAACTAGTTCAAATAAAATAAAATTTTATTGGCCACATGCGCTGAATACAACAGGTGCAGACATTACAGTGAAATGCTTACTTACAGCCCTTAACCAACAGTGCATTTCTTTTTAACAAAAAAAGTAAAAATAAAACAACAACAAAAAAAGTGTTGAGAAGAAAAGAGCAGAAGTAAAATAAAATAACAGTAGGGAGGCTATATATACAGGGGGGTACCGGTGCAGAGTCAATGTGCGGGGGCATCGGCTAGTTGAGGTAGTTGAAGTAATATGTACATGTGGGTAGAGTTCAAGTGACCATGCATAAATAATTAACAGAGTAGCAGCAGCGTAAAAGGATGGGGTGGGGGGGCAGTGCAAATAGTCTGGGTAGCCATGATTAGCTGTTCAGGAGTTTTATGGCTTGGGGGTAGAAGCTGTTGAGAAGTCTTTTGGACCTAGACTTGGCACTCCGGTACCGCTTGCCGTGCGGTAGCAGTGAGAACAGTCTATGACTAGGGTGGCTGGCAGAGGTGGGTAGTAACGAGTTACATTTACTCCGTTACATTTACTTGAGTAAGTTTTTGAACAAATTATACTTCTAGGAGTAGTTTTAAATCACTATACTTTTTACTTTTACTTGAGTAGATTTGTGAAGAAGAAACTGTACTCTTACTCCGCTACATTAGGCTACAATGAGGTCGTTACTTTTATTTTTACCTCTTTGGTATTCTACGCGTCATTGTCTTTATCCCCCCGCATATGCCTTATTTTAATATTTTATTTTGACAGAGAGAGAGAGAGACTTCCGCTAAGGCTCTACCACGTGACTGTGTTTCACCAATCATACGTAGTTGTGCAGTCTCGTCACTTTACCATACTCAATCTCAGTGGCGGGACGGGTTGGCTTTACAGTCATAGCAACACAAAAATGTCAGAATTAGCCGTCGGCAATGCAGACACAGACGAGGAGGAACACCCGCACCCCTGGCCTCATATTGAAAGCATGTTTACCTTAGTAAAAGTGCGAAAGAACAGCTACATTATGCGGTGTCTTCTGTGTCTACCAAAACAAACGGACATTTCAGCATTCAAGAACTCAACATCTAACTTGAGGAAACATGTAACGGTAAGTTTCCTAAATTCGTTTTTTTTTTGCTGTGGATAGGCGAATGTTTGTCTTTTAGGTTACATATGTTTTAAACATTTTCTATATATATATATATATATATATATATCCACATTTGATGTGATAATAAGTCTCTTTTAATGTCTTGATCTCCCTTTAGCCTCACAGATTTTTTTTTTGTCCACAGAGGATTCACCCCAACAAACTGGCAAAGTACACAGACTTACTAGAGAACCACAGAAAGCGTAAGTCCTCCTCTTCCAGTGATACTCATGTGAAAAATGCAAAAATCACAGCCTTTGCTGCCCCAGGGCGGGTAACACAAGCAACGCTTGACAAGCTGATGCTACATTTTGTATGTGAGGCCAACCAACCATTTTCTGTGGTTGAGACGCCATCCTTCAATACTTTGATAGAAACCTTGCAACCTCATACAGTAATGACAAGGAAAACGTTATGCACAAGAATACAAGAAGCTGCAAAACACAAGAAGAGCATAATCATCAAAAAGCTGAGTGCTGTGAACTATGTTGCTAACGTAGCTACTTAGGTGTCACCTGTCACTGGATAGACAACACCTCACTGGAGAGGCACTCCACATTGGCTTGTAGACCTGTCAAAGGCTCGCACACGTTTGATGTCCTTGCTGCTGCATTAGAGGAAATACATTCTGAGTACCACATCAGGGAAAAAGTGACCAGGACGACAACAGACAGTGGCTCAAACTTCCTTTCGATTATACAGTGGGGAAAAAAAGTATTTAGTCAGCCACCAATTGTGCAAGTTCTCCCACTTAAAAAGATGAGAGAGGCCTGTCATTTTCATCATAGGTACACGTCAACTATGACAGACAAATTGAGAATTTCTTTTCCAGAAAATCACATTGTAGGATTTTTAATGAATTTATTTGCAAATTATGGTGGAAAATAAGTATTTGGTCATCTACAAACAAGCAAGATTTCTGGCTCTCACAGACCTGTAACTTCTTCTTTAAGAGGCTCCTCTGTCCTCCACTCGTTACCTGTATTAATGGCACCTGTTTGAACTTGTTATCAGCATAAAAGACACCTGTCCACAACCTCAAACAGTCACACTCCAAACTCCACTATGGCCAAGACCAAAGAGCTGTCAAAGGACACCAGAAACAAAATTGTAGACCTGCACCAGGCTGGGAAGACTGAATCTGCAATAGGTAAGCAGCTTGGTTTGAAGAAATCAACTGTGGGAGCAATTATTAGGAAATGGAAGACATACAAGACCACTGATAATCTCCCTCGATCTGGGGCTCCACGCAAGATCTCACCCTGTGGGGTCAAAATGATCACAAGAACGGTGAGCAAAAATCCCAGAACCACACGGGGGGACCTAGTGAATGACCTACAGAGAGCTGGGACCAAAGTAACAAAGCCTACCATCAGTAACACACTACGCCGCCAGGGACTCAAATCCTGCAGTGCCAGACGTGTCCCCCTGCTTAAGCCAGTACATGTCCAGGCCCGTCTGAAGTTTGCTAGAGTGCATTTGGATGATCCAGAAGAGGATTGGGAGAATGTCATATGGTCAGATGAAACCAAAATATAACTTTTTGGTAAAAACTCAACTCGTCGTGTTTGGAGGACAAAGAATGCTGAGTTGCATCCAAAGAAAACCATACCTACTGTGAAGCATGGGGGTGGAAACATCATGCTTTGGGGCTGTTTTTCTGCAAAGGGACCAGGACGACTGATCCGTGTAAAGGAGAGAATGAATGGGGCCATGTATCGTGAGATTTTGAGTGAAAACCTCCTTCCATCAGCAAGGGCATTGAAGATGAAACGTGGCTGGGTCTTTCAGCATGACAATGATCCCAAACACATCGCCCGGGCAACGAAGGAGTGGCTTCGTAAGAAGCATTTCAAGGTCCTGGAGTGGCCTAGCCAGTCTCCAGATCTCAACCCCATAGAAAATCTTTGGAGGGAGTTGAAAGTCCGTGTTGCCCAGCGACAGCCCCAAAACATCACTGCTCTAGAGGAGATCTGCATGGAGGAATGGGCCAAAATACCAGCAACAGTGTGTGAAAACCTTGTGAAGACTTACAGAAAACGTTTGTCCTGTGTCATTGCCAACAAAGGGTATATAACGAGTATTGAGAAACTTTTGTTATTGACCAAATACTTATTTTCCACCATAATTTGCAAAATAAATTCATAAAAAATCCTACAATGTGATTTTCTGGAATTTTTTTCCTCATTTTGTCTGTCATAGTTGACGTGTACCTATGATGAAATTACAGGCCTCTCTCATCTTTTTAAGTGGGAGAACTTGCACAATTGGTGGCTGACTAAATACTTTTTTCCCCCACTGTATGGTGAGGAGAAAGAGGAGGAAGCCATCAATGTACAAGAGGAGAGTGACTCCACCCTTGATGATGCAACAGAAGATCAGAGTGAGTCAGAGGTGGAGTATCAAGATGTCTGCAATTCTGGATGACAACACAGGCCTTGAGTACCAACTTCCAAGGCACCAAAAGTGTGCATGCCATCTCCTCAATCTTATATCCACAGTTGATGCCACTGCTGCAGGAGGAGCTGCAAACGAAACCTAC